TGATGAATGGATAAAGAAAATGTGACATATATACACAATGCAATATTACTCGGCCTTAAAGAAGAATGAAATTATGGCATGTGTTGGTGAATGAATGAAACTGGAGAATATTGTGCTAAGTGAAATAAGCCAGTCCTAATAAACCATATCTTTCTGATATGTGAAATCTAACCCACAACAAAGGAGGGTGGGGAGGGGAAGAATAGAAGTCCATTGGATTACACAAAGGGGAGTGAAGGGAAGGAGGGGGAGATGGGTATAGGAAAGACTATAGAATTAATTGRACATAACTTTTCTATTCTTATATATGATACATGATCAGGGTAATTCCACATCATGTATAACCACAAGAATAGGTTCCTACTTAGAACAAGTTATGCACCATGTTGTACAACATKCCAAAATGCACTATACTGTCATGTATATATAAAAAGAACAAATAATAATTTAAAAAAAGTTTTCTGATRCAGTTGTTCTGACCCCTAGGAAAATGGTATGCAGGGAGAACTTTCTGGGGGGCTATTTCCTACATTAATAAACCATGTGACATAGAGGAGTCCTCTCCAGTTTTATAGATTGTATATCCAATATATAATTGTATATATATTGTAACACTGTTGTTATTGTGAAAGTCAAAACAAAATAGATTTAAACTATTTTCATTTTACATCTATAAATAAGTTATRTGTGCACAAAATTGTATAAATACATATACACACACAGACATCTATTCAGTAGAAAATTAATGCACCCCATGGAAGGAAGGATGGTAGAAATTGAAATGAAAATTTGCAGACATCTTTCCTGTACATTTACTTAATAAATCTGCTATTTCTGTTGCTGCTACCTGTCCTAAAATCACTATTAAACCAGTTTTAATACTGACCATATTAAAGTACTGCAAAATGTAAGCAGCATTAGTATATTTGAAAAAATTATGACACTGTTGCTATGGATGTGAAAAGAATAAAGTGTAGTTTTAGTTGCACACTAACACTTTTTTTGTAGGATTTAAGGACAGCTTACCCATTTCTCTGGAAATTTTCTTGCATCTCTTCAGTTCTTTGATAATTTGCCATCTTATCTACAATTTAGTTGTTCTGAAATAAAATGTTGTCAAATGTAGCATGACCATGGGAATTTTTTTCTCTTGGTTGATATACAACATTGTTAACATCCCTACCAGTTTCTGAAAAAGCAAGCTGCTCAGAATTAAGACCTACCTACACTTTCACTCTAACCCATGTTTCTGGTTAGGCAGTTTCYTCTAGTTAGGTATATCTCTAAAAGAATTGAAATTTTTCATTGAAATTTTTAATTTCTTCACTTCATTCTTGGTTTAGATTCGAGTTAACAAAATTTTTGGCATGGGAATAAAAGGAGAAAAATGAAAGTGAAAACTATGTGGTTTTCTAGGATGTTGTATTGTACTCCTCTTCTGCCACTGATTTGATTGTAATTGACAAAATACTTGCAGCTACCTCTGATTTAGTTTTCTCTATAAAATAATAAAGTGATGTTGTAAGTTTCTGTTAACTAGCAGATTGAGGAAGTAGAGCTTTCTTGTTCATCAAGTATAAGCAAGTTAAAAATTCTCATGATAYGTGGGTAGTTACAAACCAGAATAATTTGAAAATCCATTATCATGAAAACTGTATTATGCATAATACATTCATCCTTTGGATGATACTTCAGGATATTGGTTTATATTAGAATCACCATTATGTTCAGACATTATTAGTTTGTTGTGGATGTATATAAATGTCTATGACTTGATTTTACTCGTTAGGCCATATATTACCCYATGCTGAGATGATTCTAAAGATGTGGATTTCAGTTTTCAAGAACTAAACTTTTTTTTTTTTTTTTTAGTTCTCGGCAGACACAACATCTTTGTTGGTATGTAGTGCTGAGGATCGAACCCGGGTTGCACGCATACCAGGCGAGCGCGCTACCGCTTGAGCCACATCCCCAGCCCAGGAACTAAACTTCTTAATGAAGGATTTCAGTGGATCAGAAATGCTTTCAGCGCCCAGAATGAAGGCATGATACAAATAATTACCCATCAGTTTATTCTTGCTTTTTTGGAAGGAAGTACTTCTTATTACTATTTGATATTATACCATCTCAGTAATTTGATATATATGTAAGAAAAGTGAAAAAATAGAGAAGTCATAAAACAATTGGTAAATATCAATCATTTGCATCTTACAGGAATTAACAATGCTACAATACAACATAAATTTATAAAAAGAAATCAAAACAAGACTTACCTTGGAAAGTGCATGATCTTTTTTTCATTTACATCAAGTCATGTATAGTTTTTCTTTCAACAAAGAACCAACTGTACTTCTGTAACAGTGGTTTACCAAACTTGGTTTCTGATCACACCGGTGTCATATCTGATTATAACCACTGATGAATTACCTCGTGAAGCACACTGTGTTCTTCACATCATACTGAACTTGGGAAACAACACCAGCAAAGAAAATGCACTGAACCAAATAAACATTCTTTTTTGCAAAAATTGGTAGTGTCTCTATAGCTAGTTTTCTATTGTTCAGTCCCATAAAATCTTTTTGGTTAGCTGACTTAGTAATTAAGATGGGTAAAATAGATGCCTTTAATAGGTCAATGGGACATTTGCACAGCAAATATTTATTGAGAAATACTTTCTGCAAGGCACTGATTCTACTGCTTCATTACTGTTCTCTGGAAAAAAAAATCATCTTTCTCTGATTTACTYTTGTTGTTTTCCTACATCTATAACACATTCTGCTTTGTATTACAGATCCTACTTGCCTATATTTCTTCACTTCTTGAATTGAGAAAGTATTGAGTTATATGATATACCAATTATTAGTTTATATCAATTAAAAGTTATATTTCTTTTTCTTAAGGAACTTACATCTTATTTTTCTTCTCTATGCTACAGTCTTACTATTCAGTATGGTCTCAGGGTCACCTGCATARTCATTATACCGGTCATTACTAGAAATGCAAGATTTTTTTAAAAAAGTATCTTAATTTTGTCAAAATGTTTATAATATGAAACTTAAGAGTTTTAATCATTTTAAGTCCAAAATGCAGTGGCATTAAGTTCAAACACAAAGTTGTGCAGCCATTACAACTATTCATGTCCAGAATTTTACACCATTCCAAGGTGAAATTCTGTATTCACTAAACAGTAATTTCTCATATCAGTTTCAGCCTTTGTAACCTTTATCATATTTTCTGTCCCTACAAATTTGACTATTTTAGGTACCTCATGTAACTGGAGTTATACAATATTTGTCCTTTTGTGTCTTTTTTTACTTCACATTTTCAAAGGTTCAGCCACTTATCACAATTTAATTCTTTGCTAAGGCTGAATTATATTCTCTCTCTCTCTCTGTCATATATATATATTACATTTTTGTATATCCATTAACCTATTGTTAGATGTTTCTACTTTTGGGAAATTGTGAATAGTGCTGCAGTGAATATTGGTATATAAGTATCTGAGTAATATTTAATTCTTGTTATATCTATAAGCAGAATCACTATATCATTTGGTTGTTCTAAGTTTTTTTTTGGTACCAGAGATTGAACTCAGGAGCACTTGACCACTGAGCCACTTTCCCAGCCCTATTTTGTATTTTATTTAGAGACAGGATCTCACTAAGTTACTTAGCACCTCGAGGCACTAAGCAACGCAGTGAGACTGTATCTCTAAATAAAATACAAAAAAAGTCTGAGGTCTCCCAGAGAGGGAGAGATACTGCCTCCAGACTACTTTCAAGTTCAAGATATTAAGACTAGTATTTCCAGACTTCTAGCCTTCAAAGTCAAGTTTCAACTTGTCAGCCGCCACAATTACATGAGCCAGATCTTTAAAATACCACCCCTTTCACATTCTATTGGTTATGTTTCTCTAAAGAAACCTAACTAATATACCTGGCAAGAAATGAAATAATGAGATGAATAGTACAAAGAGTGACTATTCTAGCTTCTGAGAACACTGAGCAAGAACATTAAGACCTAAAATGGTTTTGCCTACRGATGAGGATGGCTCTCACATTAATCCTTGAAGGATGGTTAAGGTTTCAAGAAGTGGAAATTCATGGAAGAGGAACGGAGGCATAGTTTCAGGAATGCAAGGTGAATTATCTCACAGCAGAAGAATGAGCTTCATCTGTTTAGAGTGAACAGTTCATGCAGAAACAGATGAATTCAGATTGTAGAAAGCATTGAACCAGTTTTTAGAGCAACTATTATAATTTCTGAGAATGAGAGAGATAGAGCCAATGGTATTTGGTATAATTAACCTGATGTTAGTGGCAGACTGAAGAACAAGAGGAAAGATAGGATTCCAGTAGACTCATTATGGTCTAGTTTAATAGCAGTGAGATGGACATATCTGAGAGAGATTTTAAGGGAAGGCTGACAGGATAGATTTAGAGGACAAGAAAGAATAAAAGGTAAAAAGTTCAATGATTAAACTTTAGAAACTTGGAATAACAGAATAGCAAAGATAAAAGTGGGGAATTAGGAGAGAGAATTCATTTTGGGGAAAAGGTGACATATGGTTGAAATATTCTAGTTTGGGTTGATATTAACGTCAAGGTGAAAATATCTACTACGTAGATGGAAATGTGGCATTGATAATCAGGAAAATTGCCAACTTAGAGATATGCTTGCAGTGGTCATCTGTGCAGAAGGAATATCTGAACTTGTTTATTAATCTAATGCTATTATGTAAAGCACAGGGGAGTAATGTTACACATGGTTGAAGGTATTACTTCCAGAGCAGCAGGAGAAGTTTCTGCGTTAGGGGAGATATTCTCTGAACTGGCCTATATTGTAGCCACTGGGCATATGAGCCTATTAACCACTAGCAATGTGCCTTCCAAGAATTGAATATCTAGTTTTGTTTTTAAACTGACACAATAATTATGCATATTTATAGGATACAGTGTGATCCTTCAATATATGTATATAGCATATAATGATCAAATCAGGATAATTAGCATTTTGTTGTGTTGGGAAACTTCAAAAACTTCTACTTATTTTGAAATATGTAATAAATTGTTGAAAACTGGAGTGACTCACTTTCATGTACTATAAAACATTATAGATCTTGTTCTTCCTATCTAACTATATTTTGGTACCTATCATCCACCCTGTCTTCCCCATCTCCTTCCTAYCCTTCCTAGCCTTTACAGATCACTATTCTATTCTCTTCTTCTGTAAGAGTAAACTTTTTAGCTTCCACAGATGTGGTACTTGTTTTTGAATTTTTATATAACATTGATTTAATTTCTATCTTTATTGATATATAATTGACAGACATAATTGTATAAGTTTAAGATATACAACAAGATGATTTGACCCACACACACACACACATACACACACACACACATTAAGAAATGATCACCACAATTATGTTAGTTAACACATCCKTCACTTGACATAGTTACCTTTTATGTATGTGTGTGTCTTGAGAATACTTAAGATCCACTCTCTTAGCAAATAGAAAATACGGTAGGACTTATTCATCTTATAACTGAGAGTTGGTACAGGTTGACCAACCTCATTCCCTTTCCTCCACTTTCCAGTCCTTGGCAGCCACCATTCTGCTCTGCTTTTCTGAGTTTGATGTTTTTAGGTTCTACATATAAGTGAAATAATTTAACTTAAGATAGTGCCCTTAGGGTTCCTCTACATCAACACATACCACAATTTCTCTGCCCATTCATCTGTTGACACACACTTAGGTTGTTTCCATATCTTGGCTATTATGAACAATGCTGCCATGAACATGGGAGTACAGAGTCTTCTTGTATAGAGATACTGCGTTAGTTTCCTTTGGATGTATTCCCAGAAGTGGGTTTCTGGGTCACATAGTTGTTCTATTTTTAATTTTTTCCTAATTTGAATTATTTTATTTAGAAATTTTTAACTAATATATGAAAATTGTACATATTTTGGGAGTGCCAATGTGAGGTTTTAATATATATATATATATATATATATATATATACACACACACACACACACACACACACACACATTGTGTAATGTTCAAATCAGGGTA